GTTTTGTTTCTCCCTAAGGTTTATGGTTTTGGTATTGTTACTTTTATTTTTTTCATTTTGAAAAAAACTTGGTTTGTGTCTTAGAGAAACTGTTCATAACCAGAAAGAAAGGTTGAATAAAGTACATATTTTCTTCTTGCTATCCAACCAGTTCTATCTATGGGAGAGTTTTGGGTCCCTTCCCATCCCTCACTTCTCTGCCACCCTTTTATCTCCCGCTTTTGAGAGTTGAGCAGAGGGAAGATGATGTAGATTACAAAGTAGCCTGTGAACAGAAAAGCAATGTCCACATATCTATTTTTAACAGGTAATATTTGGGAACCAAAGATAAGATACAAATAAGAAAAACAGTAATTTTAATTTAGGAAACAACAAAGTTCTAGTTTAATGGAACATTGCTCTAGATTGTTTTAGAAAGTCAGTAAAAGAGTTAACGATACATAATACATTTAGTGGTACTGAAATGGTCAGTTGGTCCTACATTAATTCAATAGGGAAAGTAGTGGACAACAAGGTGGGGAAGACTGAAGTGAGCTGATGCTGCCTCTAAGAGGCAGGGAGTTTTCTGGGGTCGATTCCTTCTCAGACTATCTACCTCTTTGTATCCAATTCTCTATGAAACCGGTCTTTACTGTTTCCATGGTTTCAAAAACTTGTAGGAATGATTTCTGGCTTCTCTTTGGGTACAATGAGACTACTTTCTCTAGGGATCTTGGGCAAGGCAAAAGAAGGTTTTCAGTTAAAATCCAGACTATTCTGAGATACACAGTTCCTAAAAATATTTGTCTCTCTACTCACTTAGCTACCTGTTTACACCTTCCATTGGGAAGAATCCATAAATGTTCTAAAGACAAAGTAGGAATCCTACTTTTTAAAGATGATGTGGCAATTCTACCTATAGGAACTAATATAACTGCATGTACCCCCAATGAAGTTCATTTAATACCAGTTGTGCTGGATAGTTTTAGTGTCAACTTGACACACCTGGGTTGAGGGTGTGGTCAGAGTATTTTGTCAGAACAATGAAGACAACAAACCACACCAGAAATTGGTACCAGGAGTGGGGTATTTCTGTGACAGACATGATCTTGGTGTTTTTGGGAGGACTGTGGAAGCGTTTGGAACTTTGGGCTGGAAAAGCCATTGCGTGCTCAGAGTTTGTTGCTGTGGAGCTTGGAACAATTATGCTGAAAGAGCTGTAGACGATGAAGGCCTGGCTTGTGAAGCTTCAAAGGGAAGCAGAGACTAGCAGGGATGTTCCTGTGATGTTTTGGATTGAGAATCTGGGTTCTCGTTGGCTGGGGCTGAAGAATCATCTGTGATTAAGAAGAGACCAGAACCTGAAGCAAAACCTTTGCTTTACTGGGACAATTGATGCTGGTTAGCTGGGGCTGAAAAATCAGCTGTAAGTAACAAGAGACCAGCATCACTGTGGTGGAGTCTTTTGGGAGGTATTTCCTCAGGGTCAGAACACAGAGGGGATCTGCACCTCTATTTCTAGCTGGAAGCAGGACTTGGTAATGTGTAAGAGTCTCCTGCATGGTTCTGGTGTTGAAAGCATGAAGGGGTCACAGAGAGCAGCTGAGGCTTGGCACTCTGAGAGGCCAGGAAAGGCCATAGGTGAAAGTGCAGCTTCAGTTGCAGCGAAGACCCCAGGATTGAAAGGGTCTTGGAGGGAAACTGAGACTTTGCACCCCAAGAGGCAAGAAGAGGCCATTGGTGAAGGTGTAGCCTCAGTTGCAGTGGAGACCCCAGCTTTTTGGAGATGCCGGGACCATGGGACAACCACCAAGGACAGCAGTAGGTGTGGAATGGAGCTG